TCCTGATTATTATAAAATCATAAAACATATTTCCCCTGTAATGACAAACTAGTATGTATTCTCCGAGGTATGTGATCCAGAACATACCCCTTTATTCAGGAAGCAATTATGTTTGTTTAAAGAATATTACTCATGTAAGAAAAGTTGTGGGAGAACTTACAGGTTTACACCTCAGAATGCACACTTCGGACAAAATCTCAATGAGTGGTTACTATTTCTTTGATGTAATACCCTCATGATCCGTATTTCCTGATGAGGTTACTGTTTGTTGTTTGTTTTTTTTTTTTCCTGTCATGGCCCTTTCATTCCATAAACAACAATTGCCATTGGTGGGGTATAAAATGAGTATGCTTTACAATCTGTAATTAAGATCTAAATTCCAGTCTATAGACCACAGCATATGGACCTGATTATTGGCTCCATGTTTTTTGCTAAGCCACTTCTGTTTATAGTTTGAATTCACAGGAAATGAAAAGGTTTCTCTCACTTATTCATACAAGAACACATTTAAATAATTACCAGCAAATAAGATGTGCTAATAAAGCAAGAGTGGCAGTATTGCTTTAGGTCTGGACAGCATGGTCTCATCAAACATGAAAGAAAATCTTCTAGTTCTATGGTGTTTGCTTTGCTGTGGACAAACAACAGCTGTTCAAAGGTAGCTACCATTCTTTATGATGCGATTAGCCCTGCATATATAAAATAAAACATATTATTTTCTATATTTTACTTCAGAGTGAATGCAGAGGAAGCTGATGTGTGCTTTAAAATTACAGGCAGAGCAAAAGAGTTGGCACCTCTGATGAAGCAGCACTGTATGTCTGCACATCTAATGAAATTCAGATTTTCATCTTTGTGTCACAAGGCAGAGGAGTTTAGGCCACGCAGTGGACTGTTCATCCAAAGCCCCTCTCTGTCCCTGTATGGTTCAAGAAGCTGTCAGCCCTTTTCAGCCATTTGGTCTGAGAGTCTCAGGCTTAATGACAGTGATGTTACATGAGAGCTGTACAAGTAGATAGGCTCAAACAAGAGACCTATATGACTGTTCCTGCTGAAACCCTTCTTTCAGCCTTCTGTCAGCCTTCTTTCTGTTACCATTGGGCTCAGGAAACAAAATGGTCTGTACGATCTTTGTGAATAGAATATATAGCTGGCTCATATACCAAACCAATAACTGGTTTGGTATATAACCAATATATCAACTGATATTATTGGTATATAATCAATTTATCAATAATAAATATATCAATTTCTGCTCCTTGCAGATGGTAACCTGCAAGGTAGAGTTGCAGTTTTGATGTGATATAGATTGTGATCTGGGAGGCTTTGTTGTTGTTGAGACTGTTCTCAGTGTGAAGCATATGCCCCTGGTTCCTCCACCACTGACGTTTTAAGACCTGTGACATAAGAAAGGACTTCACTTTAATTTGTCTGCTAATCTTAGTGCCTACTCTGGCCTTCATTTTCATTTAATCTGGAACACTGTTGCCCTTTGAAAATATATTGCTGTGGTTTAGCTTTATAAATAATTTTTTCAGGAATTAAAAACCACACTGATGACAGGCAAAGCTTATACAATGGAAGTAGGACTGTTACATTTTCATAACCCATTCAAGCCCTTTCTTTCAATTGAGATGACCTATTTGCCTTCGTGAGATATTTTACTACAGATCAGATTTTATACAGTATTTTCCCATAACATTCATAGATGTCAGCCATCCGTGGAAAAGAAGAAAGACTGATCAAAACAATCTGAATCTCTCTCCTCCTAACCATGAGGCAAAACGCCAAAGAAAGGCATATTTTTATTGATTTTTAATCTTGAAACAGTTATGACATGTATTTGTTTATTTATTACCCTCAATGGGATGGAAAGGGATTGACAATCTCTGATGCAAATGAGGGAAAAATACATACTGAAAACAGGCAGTTTGGGCACTGTGCCCAGGCTTGCAATGTGGCAGCAACATCTGAAAAGTGAACCCAAGAAGCTGAGTAACCACAGTGGTTGTTAGCTCTTCCCAAGCTCTGATATTGCAACAGTCCTGATGTTGCTAGTGTTTCAACCAGTTCAGGTATGTCTATTTATCAAACTGCAATCACACCCTTGGATGATAGCGCTGACATGACTACAGACGATAGCAGCCCTGGTATTGGGAGCGAAATAGTTTTGGCACCCAGCAACAAGAGAATTCATTGTCTGATATACCCCTGCTGATACTGCGAGTGCTTCAGCATGTACACAGAGACCTCACACGGAACGACAGTGAGGACTGGAGCTTGATGGACCAGTATAAGAAAAACAGGACTGTGTTTTTCATCTCTCCCATTCTGTCTTTTAACTCCAGTGAAAACTACATTATACATAAAACTAAGTCACATAGTGTCTCAAATCCAAACAGGTCTGTAATTTTCTCCCCATAAAGTGCCTAGCTAATTAACCAAGAATACAATTAGTTTTGAGTCAACATTAGTTTTGAGTAAGACTTAGCTCAACAGTGGTACTTGATTTACGGGCTAGCAATAAATGCTGTTCCCTTTACCTGCATAGCTGATGGAGTAAACTTAATGCATCTTAAACATCATTAACCTTTGCACTGTCTTCATTACTGACTAAACATGTGATCTTTGGGTTAATTTTAAAACCGTGGACATATAGATTATATATATATTGGGAAACTGAGAAGCATTTCTGAGAAGTCAAGTCTGAGTGAGAGCCTCAGCTGCTTTCCAGATCCATCTAGGAGAGAGCTCTCAGGCTGCACTGCTTCCCCACTGCGAGTATGCACACAGGTGTGCAGCCCAAACAGGACCTGCAGTATGTTTCAAAAATGGGGTGTATGGCCCAAATGGGACCTGAAGTACATTTCAAACAGGTACATGATCTCAGTTACTGGGGAACTAGGACCTAAATTGTGTTTTACCACACTCTAAGTGGGCAGTATAGATACAGCCAAAGCTGAATTACCACAGATCAGCCGAGCTGCAGTAGCCGACATGGGATGTTAGTCTGAACTTCATTGAAAGATGTTGCTATGAAGTTTCTTTCATTTGGGTTTGGCTAAAAGCTACTCAATTAGTTGTTGCAGCTCAATTTATATGTAACCTGCCTAAGCGTGGTAATACCAAAATCCAGAGTGTAGATAAAAGTATGGAATCCTTCAGTGAGCATGCAAGTTTCTGAACTGTATCAGGTCTCACTTTCCTTGTGCAATGTGGTCCTTGGTTATGCCACATGCTTCTGTTGAGATGTGTCCATCAAGGTAGTCCAGCCAACTAACTGTAAGACTGTCAGACATGAAGGAAATGCTAGGTGGTAAGAGGAGTGATGTGATCTCGCCTGGCCATGGTGGAACAGTAGTTGCTAGAAGTTATCAGAGATGGTCACAGCTTAGATAAGAATTAAGGCTGCATATAAAAAGGTGAATCATGTCATAGATATTCATAAGTACTTAGTCCAACTTTTCACCAGCATGCCTAAGCCTTTCTCATCACGTCTTAATTAGGACTGACAAGTGGTTCCTATAAATGTCCCCTGAAACATGGTAAATACTTAGATGATAAAATTCAGTGTCTGTTGCCATAGACTTAAAATAACTCATTTTGCTTTTCAAAGTGGATTAGTTTCCACAGTAATAAGACTGTGCCCCAAACCCACAGCAGCTTTCAGCAATGACTTCTTTCCCAAAGGAGGGCCTGAACTGGCTCTAAATTAGCAGATGTATAAAGCAAGAATGGTTAGGCTGACTGTCCTTGTAATTAAAGTGATAGAGGATATGGAAATTGGCTTGCCCCTGCTCAGATTGTTTGAGCAGAAATATTCAACACAAGAGTCGTCCAGAACAAGAAAGTCTGCATGCCAGTGATTAGAGACTGTGTGAATCATCGCAGACCAGCACAGTCTTACTGCTCTGCTTGTTTCTACGCCATTTTACTTGCTGAAAACCTCTAAATAATTCCTCATTTGTTAAAATTTATCTATGGTGCTAATTTAAGGCAAGGGTTTTTTGCACTGCCCGTCACTGCAAGATCTCTTAGTGACTCCACTTAAATCAGAGGTGGTGGGAGGATGAGCAGCAGCAGACATTTTGCAACTAGTGGTTAATAATTGATTTCTTCCTGTAGTCAAACACTGCACTACAAATTTTTTAAGTAAAGTTAATATTAAAAAAAAAAAAAAAGGTTACAAGTACATTACATGGCAGATACACATGAGGATGTATTTAGTTTGATATCAAAATAAAGTTTTATAGAACGTTTTGCTAAAAGAAAATTATGTTTAAATATAGAAAAATGATTCCATGTGAAAAGATGTTTTCCCAACTGCTATTTGTCAAAAAAAACCAAAACAAAACACCAAAATGTATTCAATTCTTCATTACAGAATAAAAAAAAAAAAAAAAAAGTATGCCTGTGCATGGATTTTATATATTCAGGAATATGTTAGCTAAGATTAATAAATTATTATTTTATAATTATTAAAGCATGAGCACCAATATGAAAGCATAAGCATCTTTAAACTAAATCAGAATTTGTTTTACAATATAACTAATATGTTCTAAAATACCAATAACCAAGAAAAGCTATAAAAACATGAAGTTAGTAATGGACTAAAGATATCTTTGGAAACTTTAAGTTCCTCTGGAAGCTGCCATTTTACAGCTTCCGCTCAAAAAGTTTATACTCGAGTCCAAGCTTGCGAATAATTTTAGGAGAGCAACAGTAAAAAGAAAATAAGCAATTATAACAAACAAACTCCAACTAGCATGGCTAATATAAGCGATCATCCAAAAGATATATATCTCTCTAGAAAGTGCAGAAGTACTTATCTAAACACTCTTGAATGATTATCATGAAACAGTAGCAACAAAAATAATGTCAGCAAGCATTTCAAAATAAGCAAGCATATTTTTTTTAGGGGTTAAGGTTTAGGTTTGGGGTTTTTTTTTCCAATTTTAATAATCATGCCCTAGAAATAAGACAAGGCAAAGGTCACTTACCTCTTACATGGATTAGAAGAAATCCAAGGCACAAAAGAAGAATCCTTCTGAATTTCCCCATGGTCTTCTAGCCGTGCCTTGACTGCACTGGTTGTTTTTTTCCAAGCAATGATTACAGATGTTGCAACTGCAGTGCGGAGGTTTGAGGGAGACACTTGGAATCAGTGGCTCTGTCCAAAGAGTTCTCTCACCATCACATTCAAGCACCACAGAAGAGAGAGGAGTCTGTAAAAACGTCTTCTAATACAAGTAATGAAAGCAAACAACCCTGCTAGTGCCAAACCATAAGCAGCACCATAGGTGCCACCTGCCCTCTAAGAAACCTATTTATCGCCCAGGCAGGGAGCATGGAGAGCTGGGGAACCAGCAGCAGCACCCAATGGGGAGGGAGCCAGAGCGCTCTGAGTCCACCTCCTCCCCGGAGGGAAAGCCAACCTGTTTGACATCTTCACCTTCAAAGCAGGGTGTGGTGCTATGGAGCTCAAGTAGCTTGCGAGAGAAGACCTGTCTTCTCTGAAGCATACTTGAAAAAAATCTCTCAGATATACTCTGTCCTCAAAGCGCTGCTTCCCTGCTTGGTTTTTGACTGAGCAATAACTGCTGATAAAGGCAATCCTGTCAGAGTCCTAACTGCTAACTCAAACTGCTGCGTTAGGTAAGTGGAGGCCAAGAATCTGCTTTGCAGAGACTGGGGAATTGTCTACAGAGGGATGACAAAGACCCCTAACTTACAAGTTTCAACTGTGATGTTGGAATACTGAACTGAAGAATGCTCAGTTCCCCAGCAGATGCTTATCCTCACAAGGTAAATGTTGTCTGTCATGATTTTTTCATTAATTTAGATGTATTTTAAAATATAAATATCCATGCATATACTACATGGAGGGAGATCTCAGCTAATGCCGAGTATGAGAACACAAAGCTATAGAAAATGAACAAAAATCACAAATGCATCCATCCATGAACATTAAAATCACTGACGCGATTTAAATCCAGTTTTGTCATAGCCTCTTTCTAGTAAACATGTATGCCAGCGCGGTTGTCTCTCAAACTAGACTGACACTGTCATACTGGCGCCCAGTGCCAGAAAGGAGATGGGTGTGCGTCCTCCCTTTTGCCGGGGGGCAAGCTGCAGGAGGTTGTGTCGCGGTTTTGACTAGGGCAGCAAATACACTCAGAACTCTGCTACCATAAATGGCTGACCTGTATGCTTGTGTTGTTGTCACGTGATTCAGTCTGATGTGGGGCACAGGCTGGCCCCAAGCGCGTTTCTGTCAAGTTACCTAGAATATGCTACAGTATGTGCACTGAATTCATGCTTTCATGCTAACGACAAAAAACTGACGCAACAACATAAGCTGGACTGATAGAACCCAGTGATATTGGATCTTCAAGAAGCTTGATGTTCAGTAGGTCAGCTCTACCTCCCCCAGCCCCTGCCAGATTTGAACCAGCAGAATGGTTTCTAAAGGCCTGGTTTATCATATCACATGGCTTGACTATTTTTAAGCTAGTAATAGAAGCTCCAAAACTCAATTTATGTATCATCATCCTCCTTGTCAGAGCCAGTTGCTCAATCTCAGAAGAGTTAAGGATATTTAGGTTTAAGAGTTGACTTTGTCAGCCAGTTAAAACAAGAATTATATCATGACACAAGAAATCCCATAAATCCACTGTTTATTTTTTTCCAGAATAACAAAAGCAGGCTCACATGTGCTAATCTTCATATCAGTAATGAATTTGCCTGAAGGAACAGGAAAATTAGCAAGGCTATGTACTAATCCCAGGCAAGTCCAAGCAGCTCACAAACATTCAGCAGCTTTACTTCAAAAGTTGTTTTTGTAAGTGACGTCTTCCCAAAATGCATTCTCTTGCTTGTCTGCTTGTACTAGTTCATTAGGATATTGAACATTCTCAACTTAATTTTGGAGATAATGCATGCTTTGTCTACTTCTTCTGAAGTCAGCTACTGCTCTATCTTGCTAAATATAAGCAATATGAAGCAGGCACAAGAAGGAACGAACCTAGCACTGGAGTCACAACGTCTCGAATACTTGCCCCACTTCTGTTCCTGGGGGCATTGCAGGACTGTTTTAATCTCAGCACTCTCTGTCAAAGATGTGCAACTCTTGCCCAAGAAATCAAATAAACAATAATATATATTAAAACCAAATACAAGGCCTACACCTGACCGACCATAAGTCGCAGTTTTATCACTTTCAGAAATCACTGACCCAGCTTTTTCTATGTGTACTGGGTCTGGCTGAGCTGGAATTGGTTTTCCCCTACAGCAGCCCTCATGGTGCTGTGTTTTATGTCGGGAGCTGGCAGGGTGTTGGTAGCACCCTGGTGTTGTGGCTACTGCTGAGCAGTGCTTACACAGCACCAAGGCTCTTTCCGACATTTCCCCCAGTGGGACGGGGTGGGCAAGATCTTGGGAGGGGACACAGCCAGGACAGCTGACCCAAACCGACCAAAGGGATATTCCATACCATATGACGTTTGCTCAGTATAAAGCTGGGAGAAAGGAGGAAGGGGGTGGGGTCACCCTTGGTCCTCCGAAGCAACCACTACGTGTATTGGAGCCCTGCTTCCTGAGAAGGCCCGACATCGCCTGTCCATGGGAAGTAGAGACTAAATCTGTTTGCTTTTGCTTCCGCGCGCGGACTTTTGCTTTGCCTTGCTTATATTAAAACTGCTTTTGTTTCACCCACAAGGGTTAGTTTATCTTCTTCGCCCTCTTTACCCTACTGAGAAAACAAGGGGAAAAGGGGGGGGGGAAGTGATATAGCGACTTGGTGGATACCTGGCATTTAGCCAGAGTCAAACCATCACACTATGTAAAGGGAAAACAAAGTTCTGACTAATACTCACCTAACAAGGTGGACAACTTACCTAGTATCTTTTTACTTGCTCTTTCAAGAAAAACCCATATATTTAAGAAATAGCAAATGGGTGGAGAAACAGTGCCAACATGTCTGTCTGTTCTGTACACCATATACTTTTAGCCCATCAGGCCTCTTTTAGATGAGACAAGCTAAAAGAGAAGAAGAGGGCAGTCTCAACTCACCACAGTTTCAGCCACATCTTTCCTGTGGGCAGAGGTTAGACATTGCTCTTTGGCATGGGTGACCTGCTGGATGAGTCTATCGGAGATGAAAGAATCAAATTACACACTAGATCTCCTGGGGAAGGCCACTAATATCCTACAGCATTCATCCTTGGTCATAAAAATAGAAGCATTTTAATTAAAATATTGAAACATCTGGTAATATTAAAAAAATATAAGCCAAATACACAAGTGAATCACTGATATAATTTCTTGGCAACGGAAGAATACAATTACTGCAGGCTAGATAAAACTTCAATGGTTTTTCACAGATGGAGGAACATGCATTTTAGTATTTTATCCTTATAGTTCTTAAAGTACTCCAAATGCAGGGGTTTGAAAAAAACCTATTTTTGCTCCATTGAAGTCCTTTTCCTATTTCTAATCATCTCCACTTTCTTTCAAATGTGTCTTTTACATCTCTAACAGAAAAGAGCAAAGAGAAAATAATCTTTTCCGTTCATGAAAAGTTAAGGTTTGTTTCATAATCTTCTCAAGTGAAAAAATACAGAGAGTATAGTACATTTTAGATAGTGGTCTAAAATGATTAGTGAGAAAACCATCAAAATGCACAATTGGGAGTGTAATTCAGCCCAAAGTACACTGAAAGCTGAGTGCACTAAAAAGTTTTCCTCAGCATTCGAAATCTGGCAGATACTGAAATAAGCATGAATAGGAGCTACGGTAAAAAGCTGCCGAATTTTATGTTTAAGTATTGCCTGCTTGACGAATTTGTTTGGGTAAGTTTGGATAAGTATTTGAAATAGACATCACGTTTGAAAACTGTCAAAATATTTTTCAAGCAATCCTTTCACTGAGAGGATGAACTACACTGACACTTCAGCTCCCTTGTAGAAGCTAAAGTGACATGATATTCTACAAGAAGAAGTTCCTGCTTTCTTTTTTTCCTCCTATAACTAAAGGTAACTCCTCTTCCTCAAAGGAGGTAGACTGGAGAAAAAACAACCGAAGCAGGTGTGCCACAGGACCAGGTTGGAGCTCTTTGTAGCCATCTATTTAAACCCAGCTTAATAGTGAAGGTACCTCACCAGGAGCGAACTTGCAGTTTCAGCCCAGAAAGGACAGTAACTTTTCATCTGACTTCAGTCTGGCTGAAATCTGTAACTAGAACCTTAATCTCCAAACTGGGATCTGAAATTCACTGACAGCCCATAAGGCCATGATGGGCAGCAGCTGATCTGTGGGAAATAATCATAAAAATAGGGTGAAAATAATTGTTAACTGATAATGCTCCCCAATGAATGTGAGAAATAATGAATTCAGATATCTTGCATTGTGCTCTTACACAATGCAAGAGCAGCTGAGCTAGGAAGACACAAGATCAAAGTCTCAATGAGTAGAGAGGCAAATAGCAATGTAGTAATACCCTGATAACTGAAAATTAAGTGTACTGCTACATTTTATCCACAGGTAAGTAACAAAACCCCATAAACTGGCAGTTTCTTGCTCACCACACAAGAACAGCCTGAAATGTCAAGCCTTCTCTTTAATCTTTTCTTCCTAGGTGACAGCAGCCAGTCTTTCCTCCTTCTCTCACAACACGAGCCCGTGAAGCCATAAATGGACAAAGCCAGAAGAGATGAAAGCTGCTGAAATCAGTATTACAAGAGCCACTGCTTTGTGGGGTATAGCTGCGCCCAAATTTCACGCAGCAATCTATGCCTGTTTAGACTGAAAAAAATCAGTAAGTTTGCTACTAGTCACTTGGCAACCCTTGCACTGCCATCTCATTTAGTTATGGTCCTCTTGTATCAGAAGGTGAGACAATGACACATGGCCCTGCAAAAGCATCTAGTCCTAAAGGCTGAGATGACGGATGAGGAACACTTACTGCAGACACCCTTAAGTTTGCCAATACTAAGACTTCTATTGCTGTGCATATTTTCAGTAGACATGCCTGTCCTTCACACAGATAGAGGTCTTCTCTGCACTTCGCACTGGTAAGCACCCTGTGAAAACAGCTCACAGATTTGTGGCTACTGGCCAAATTTCTCCTAGAACAATTAAAACGTCTGTAGGAAGTAAACCTGTATTGCTGATGGAGCAGGAAGAGAAAGTTTCCCTTTGAAGGCTGCTTCTCTGCTAGAGCACCAAAATTCTTGTATTTCTAGAGCTAATAAGAAGGAAAATACATAAACACTTTTATTTTTTTTTAATTTATTTTTAGAAAAAAAATCACAATATTGATAGGAGGTTTTAATAAGTAATTTTTAGGCTTGCAAAAGCTGAAGGATTCAAAAGTCTGGTTAGCTAAAAGCTAGTTTGAGCTTCCCCCACCACTTTATCCCTCTAACAATCACTCACTTCTGTTTTCTCTACATTTGGCATTGATATGAGATACCTGTTTATACATGCAGGTAAGCAGTACATTTAATTTCTTTGTATTTACATATAGCAAATGTTTATATAAAAATCACTTTTCCACCCTCAACACACTTAGAGGTTTTTGCATTTTTATACTAAAAAAACAGAAGTGGGGCAAAAAGAGGTTTACAAATTAATTCCATAACAAAATACTAAATCTGTGAAAAGCTTTGTTGCAAGCTAAGAAACATGTACAAGAAATTCTTAAATGAATTATCCTTGGTATACATTCATATTTGAATGCACAGTATATTTACATGTTTATCCAAATTCCTAATGACTTCTAAGATGTTCCATGAAATGTCATCTTCCTGTAGAATCTTGTCAGGTGGCTGAAGCACATTACTAAGACACATACTGTAAAATTGCATGAAAATTGGAAACAATTAGAATGAAAGCCAACAGAACTGGTCAGACTATTCCTTCCAGACAAAACTAGTTATTATTCCAGATTTAGTCCTTTAACTGCTGAAGTTAAATGAGTTGCAGTTTTTCATGTTTCCACAGATCCTGGAAACCTTCTTGTGGCTTTCAAGAGCCACAGCAAAGCTCACAAGTGTTTTCAGTTGAGGATGCAATCATAGGTCCTCATCCCGGTGGCAATCCTTCACAAGCCCAAAAGCATTCTTCACACATATGCTATTTATACTGGTTCAATGGATGCTTGTGGTGTGAGGCTGGGTGGTTCCGGTCAATCTTGCTATTATGTTCTTTTAAACTGTAGTGCTGTTTCTGTCTCTTAAGTGCGTATGATAAGTCTTCTGAATTCAACATTGTCTATTAAGTTTTTGATTATGGAAGCCTGAAGATGTTAATCCCCACGCCCCAATACTCCATCCACAACTGTTTAGACAACTGCCAAAAATCAATCTCACCAGACGTACAAAATCCACTTATGGTTCTGATGGGCATACCAGGCTTTTCCACATCTGACCTGCTCAATACTTGCTACATAGGAAGAGACAGAAAAGATGCCTTCATATCTTAATGCACCCTTGTCTAAGTGCATTCTGAATCTGTACCAGACAGATAAAAAAAAAAAAAAAAAA